TCCTCCAGGGCATCAGCAATCACTGCCGGACAGGAGAGGAAAGGTTTATGTCCAGGAACCTTGAACAGTGCCAGAATTTCTCTCTCACCGCTTTCCTTTGCAGCACATCTTCTTTAGGGGGGTACAGTGAGAGGCATCCCACAGAGAGATTTAAAATTTGTTTGCAGCGGTGTTTGCGTTACATAAAGGGAAGCTGAGATGTTTTCAGTAATTCCATTTAAAACAAAACAACGCTGTCAACATTGCTCAGAGACACTAAGGACTGTGCGTGGCTGCATGACAACCACACCGTGTCTTCTCCAGCCCTTGGTGTCTCCTCCAGCCCCTGGCAGCGCACAACAGAGTGTGGAGGGACTGTAGACCCGAATGGGTGTCCTCGCAGACCCGTGACGTGTACAGCCAGCCACGCCGGCATCGTCTGCATCGCCCCCGTGCCAGCAGGCACCCAGTTAGAATATTAAACATCCTCTCACAGGTTGCGGAGGAGTCTCCCTGCTTGACTTGAAGTACATTTGTCACACCAGGCACTTAATCTGTGGCGGAAAATTGGCTTGCTTCTGACATGCAGGTGGGAGAGCCGTGAGGCTCGCTCTGAGAAACGAGGTGGGAGTCAGACGGAAGCGGGCGAAGCAGCTGTGAAGGAGGGAATCAGCCCCCACCAGCACGTCTGCTGCCCCAAGAGCCTTGCTGCCAGGCGAGAAACCCCTCCTTGGGAATTTTCCACGCTCGGTGGAATCGTTTTCCTTGCTCCCAGAGTAAAATCTGTCTTTTCTAAGCCGTGTGATTTGTTTTGCAGCTCGCTCGAGAGCAGCAGCATGTTCCCGCAGCTCCAGCTGCTCCCAGCAGACACAGTCTGGGGTCAGGAGGGAGCAAACACAGCTCGTGGGGCTGCTAATGGGGCAGGAGGAGGGTGAGAGCCTTCTTGCCACAGAGCATCGCTGGTGGCTTTGAGCAAGAGGAAAAAAAAGGGTTTTCGGCTGAAAACTGATTTACAGATAGAAGCAGAGTAAGGCTGTGCAGAGCGTTTTCACTTTCTTGCCTGCACTCATCTGCAGGAGGTAACTGTTTCAGCTTGGGAAAGGCGTGCACCAGGTGTGGATGTGTGGGCAGAACAGGTCAGCGAGGAGTGGGACTCGTGTGACAGAGATAGAATGGAGAACAAACCTGTGACAAACCCTTCTCATACAAGAGGCAGAAAACTCAAATTCCAAGCCACAAAGGCCTTGGCACGTCCCTCAGAGAGGTGCGTGCATGTTTGCAAAGCTGAGCACCAGCGTCAAGGAAGCTGCAGCGTTCCTCTGGAGATCCAGGGACGGGACAACAGGCATCCAGCCCTATGCGGGGGTGGCCAGGACTGCTCCCAAAGCCTGAAGGTCAGCAGTTCTCACCCACTTCTTTATCTGGCTTTAGCAGCCTTTGCAGGAGGTGGCAGAGCTTTGGCTTCTCGTCACGTTCGTGGCTCAGACGCGTTTGAGATAGTTCCCTAACTCAAATCACTTGGACTTCTAAGTCATCCCAGCCAGTGATTTGGAGGAGGGACCCTGTGATCTCTCCAGCTCTAATTTCCTCTCACAGGTGTTTTCACCATCGAGCCAAGCTCACCTATTACGCGTCTCCAAAACGCGAAGGAACCTGGGAGAAGATAGCAGTTCACAGTCCTAACAGGTCAGGCTGTTCTTGGGGCTCGTGCCTTCGTCTGTGCAGTTGTTTCACTCCTCTGAGTGTCGGCTGGAAGTTTGCTGCGTTCAGCCTTTTCACTGAGTGGGCTTTTTCCATTTGTTATTCCAGCACAAAAGAAAGGAGAAAACGTGAAGTGGGCCTTGAGCAGTTTCTGCTCTTAGAGGTCGTCTGAGCTTTTTGGACTCAAAGGGAAATAAGTGACAGCTCTGCGCAGCTTCCAGATATCCGAGTGACTTGTTGAATAGAGACACCTCGCACGTCACACTTTTGGGTTGGCTTTAATTCCTGGCCTTTACAGCAGCATCAGGCCTTTAAGTAGCATTTTGTCTCAGGTGGGCTTAGCTTTCCCCTTCAGTCACACTCTACAGCTCACTGCAAAAGGTTCGTGTGGGAAGAAGGGACAAAAGAAGAGACGAGCTCGATGTGAAGAGCACATCTCTCTGTGAGGTAACTGTAAGCAGTTATGAGAAATGCTACGTAGAGGGTGGGATTTTTTTAAAAAAGATGGGTGCTAGTCCCAGCACGCAAAATCCTTATCTGCAGCCCGTGGAAATGAGCTGAAGTCTTTCAGTGAGCAGTGGAATGGGCTGTAGAGGCTAGTGGGGAGTAGAATGTCTTACAGGGCCTCAGCATATAAAGAGAAAAATGATGAAAAGAGGGTAACGTTCTATCTGGGTCTCTGCAGGCATGATTCTGTTGTCCTGCCCAGCCGAACAGCCAAGGTGAGCCAGGCAGCACTGTCGGGAACGTCTCATGCGAAGTCAGCACAGGCACAAGCCTACAGCAAGCTGCCAAGCACCTTCCCAGCCTGTGGTGTGGCATGTCTTCTCCTCCTTATCCCAAAGGAAACTACTTTTTCCAGCTGAGGAAACTGCAGTTCGCTCTTTAAAGCTGATTCTTGGTGCCACAAGTGGCTCCTGGCTGGGAGAAGGTCTGTGCCCCAGAGCCCTTCCCACGTGCTGGGTCCTCTGGGGCTTCCCACGGCTGAAGATGCTCATCATCAGCACAGCCAGCACAGCCAGCTGGCAGCAAGGACTGCCATGGTCCTTACCTCAAATGTGCCCTCTCGTTAGATTATATCAGGCTATTTCACAGCAGTTCTAGTTCACATCTTAGTAAGTGCCTCCCAAGACCGTCACTGCAGGCTTCTTGCTGCTGGGAGACCTCAGGTCTCTCCACAGCCTCCTCGTTCCTGAGCTGGACAGCCCCAGCTCTCTTAATCTTTCCTCATCCAGAAGATTTCTCAATCTCCCACTGATTTGGGGACCCAGTCTATTTTCCTCTTGGCTTGTTCCCACTTTCCCTCTACCCACAGCTGGTGGTTCCTTGATGCATTCGTTGTGGCAGCCTTTGAGAGACTTTGCAGAAGCCCCTGGCTCTGGTCTGCTGGTCCTGTGGGACACGAACAGCCCAGGAACGGGCACCTAATGCACGGTGGTAAGGAACGGAGGAGAAGACCTCAGTCTGCAGGTGGGCTGGCTGCTGGGCTGCTTTTCTCTGATTTCTGAGATGGTTTCCAAGTCTCTCCAGTGTTGTTTCTTTCTGTTGGCTGTCTAGCAAGCTGGATGGCGGGATGAAGAACCAATGAATGTGTGACTTCTTGTTTCTTTTAGTGAGACACAAGCCTAGGAGCAGAGGATCAGGGAGGAACACCCCACTTGTCATACTCTGTGCCCTGCTGTCCCCTTTGCTGGGTTCCCAAACTTGGCCAACTCTGCCAACACCACGAGCAGCCACTCCCGGCTTGGCCACCACCCAGGAGAGCCCTTCCCCAAGCCCAGTCAAGTACCAGGAGCTTTTTTCTTCTTTCAAGCCCAGTTCCTCATCTGGGGTGTAACTTTGACTCTCTTAACAGCCACGAAGTGACCCTCAACAGCAACCAGTGCCTTTTAACCGGCAGTTTTTGGGAAGGGGTGAACAACAAAAGGAGAGATGCACTGCAAGGAGCTACAGGAACATGAGATGTTAGTTAGGGAGAGCAATGAGTCCAGCTACTCTGGGTAGTAGTTCCTCTCACTCTCAGTAGATGTTAGAGGGCACGTCCCTGCCTAACCTTGAGCTCCATTTGTTGACCTGTTGTGCAATAATTTATCTAACCCCTGTCTGAACCCACTGACACTCTTTGCTTCCACAGCCTCACGCAGCAACAAGTCGCAGAAGTTAAAACCTGCTGTGCAAAGAAACACTTCCTTTTATTTGTTTTAACGTTATTTCCAGCTCAATCCATGTCACAGCTGAGGCAGGAAGGCTGGGCGATACTGTGTTTGGGAGTTCACCTGATCTGAATGCATGGAGAATGGTGGATCCCACATTTTGATATTTCCATACCTCTTGACAAGGCTAGGGAAGGAGTTCCACGAGGTGACCCGTTGTGGTAGGGGGGAATAGAAAACGATGACCTGAGAGGTTCCTTCTGCTCTGACATTTTGCTGTGAATCTCGAGTTAAATTCTTACTGTAAGGCTCAGATGTGTTTTGACAGGTACAAAGGGATACCAAGAACACAACATCCTGAACAGCCTTTGAGTAAGGTGGGTGCTTGGTGGTACTTAGGGCAACAGAGCTTAGTACAGCCCTGCAAAAAGCCTTTCGGCGTTACCAACCAACTAGTTTTTACGCCGCTAATTACCACGCACACAAAAAGGGATGCGATTTGTTAAAGAACGGTGGGAAGCGCGCGTGGTAACTTGTGAATTTTTTTAGGTGCGTTACTGTGAAGAGGTGCGGGGACTCGCTTTAAAGGAAAGTGTATTGCATTTGTCATGGTGATGTGGGGAACGTTCTGGAAGATGAAAATATATTTATTGCCAATACTGCCAGAGGTCAGGCTTTCCCGAAGCGTCCATGTTGTGGTCTGAGGTCTGGTCTCGGGCGATGGCGTGACACCATCCAGCAGACCCGATTTTCTGATCTCTAGTTTGCATTGATCTTACGTTTAGACACGCAGTCAGAAGAACAGACCCTCCCTTTTCCAGTGCCTTTGGAAAGATCGCAGCTTCGTAGAATGAGTCCTTTCTCCTCCACCCTTAATCTACAACCCAGCTTTCCGGGGAGATCCTACTTTGAGCTAAGATCTTCGGCCCACCAGCTGAGCTTGCATTCTTCTTTACAGTCCCTGAATTCAGCCGGTGAGCCGAGTGCCTCTGGCATTTCCTCTGTGCTTCTGGGCATCTCCAAAGTATTTGTTTGTTTCGTTCCGTTGTGTTTTCTTTTCTCTCATGACATGCGGATGGCAGGGGGAGCTCCTTCTTGTCTGTCCGTGGCCTGCTCCTGCCGCGGAGGGCGTCTCGGTGCCGTAGTTCTTGCGGTGTTTGCATCTGTACGTACCAGCATGGGGCAGTTTGAGGCGTGGGGTGACGGGGCAGCACAGTAACTCCCTCTGTGGGTGCTGTTCTTGGCGGGGCCGGCTTGGCTGAACCGTTTAGCACAGCCAGCCGGCAGGTCCTGCATCTCTAGTCGGCGCTGATCTCATGTCTAGGGGCAGTCAAAAGAACAGGCCCTCCCTGGGAGAAACCTGTGAGGGCATCTCGATGGTTTGCTTTCCCTGTAGAACCAGAAAATGCAGCCTCTGCTGTGAGGTTTGTTCTACAAAATTAGTTTCCTTGATTTAATCTGGACCTCTCTCTGAGAAAGAAGCAAGCCTAGATGCAAGCAAGGTCTAGCTAAGCCCAGCTCACGGACCCCTTGCAGCCTGGCTTCCCAAGACCCTGAAGATGTGGGCTTTTGTCTGCTCAGCTTTGAGCACTGGGCTCGGCTTTTGCGAAACCAGACATGATGGTATCGAAATCTTGTTTTCTGCAGAGCAGAGGAAACCACTCCTGTGATCCCTTGCTCCTCTGGCAACACCTGCAAGCACTTCACTTGCCTCCTCGCGCCCGGTCCTCGCGGGCTGCGGTGGGACGTAGGCAGGACAGGCAGAACGAGGGACAATATCAGGCAGCCGCAGACACTGTGCATCCCCCAGAGCTGTTTTCTAACCAGTCTTTGCGCATCTTCCGTCGCTAAAGATCCTGGGCCCCGATTCTTCTGCCGCTCTGGATTTACACCACTCCATGGGCCTCAATGGAGTAATTCACGGCTTCCTCTGGTGTAAGCCCAGGAAGAATGGGGGCCCAGGATTGTTTGATTTCCATCCCATAACCCGGAATGAGGAATGCTGCAGCATGACACTTGCCAGAATAACTGGGGAGCCCCGCAACTTTCTTTTTCTTTGTGCTCTTTATGTGGTTGGTTTGTTGGTTGGTTGTTTTTTTTCCTTATCGTACTGCTGTGCACTAATGGCTTGAACTCTGTTTTGTCACGGACGTTTCTTACTTTGTGTCCAGAGACCCACCGCAAGGGCCATGAGCAATACTTGTGTGTGCGGTCAGACCTCTGCGGCTGCGGTGCGGGCTGGTGGGGCAAGGCCGAAACGGGGTCCTGAATGTGCCAATGTGTCTGTTGGTGAACTTGTGTATCTCGGCAAAACCTTGAAAACCACTCTTTGAGCAGGGGCACTGGGCACAATTCATTAAACCAGCCTGAGGCGGTGGTGCTGCTTGGCACTCGCCGTGGAGCGCGACCGCGGCCAGATGCTTCCCCGCCAACACGCTCGTCAAAAAACCTGCTTCCCTGCCAGAGGAGAGGTGAAAACCAGTCACAGAGCTAGGCAGGGGATTCCTTAAAATCCAGCACCCTTCCTGAGTGCCCTCCCAAGCCAATATGGGGCTTCACGCTGCCCTCTCCTCCTGGTGAGGACAAGCTCCTGGAGCAGTTCCCTGCGTCAGTTTGGCTCCCAGAAGGTGTCTGCAGGAAGATGAAGGGCACCCCGACATGTCCTGCTCCCTCCTGCCCATCAGGGGAGGCAGCCCAGGAGAGCTGGGTGGTCACTGGCCACGCTAGTGGTTGCTCTGCTTTCCTCAGTCCCTGTCCTCCAGGGAGTGGTTTTTAAGTGATTCAGTTAAGAGTCAACTTAGAGAATATTTACCAAGTGGCCAAGGTATCCCGCCAAGGTGGAAATTTCCTGCCTCTTTTCTGGAGGAAAGCCCAACAATTTGGCATCCTGAGCGGTTAGCAATCCGATTCGACGCTCGTGAAGGCAGTGATGGGATCTGGCAGTGAAAAAGCAGACGCTCCACACTTCCCAGAGGTGAGGCTCTCACCAAAGGGCCAGCAGCCCACACTCAATCGCACGGGTCATATTTGTGACCCTGCTCCACGCTCTCTGGCTTTTAATGAATCAGGCCTCCTGTGACTTGCTGGGTGCTAAGTTAGTGGGTAAATGCTCGTGAGTGTTTTTTCAGGCGGTTGTCGTTTCTTAGCTGTGATGTGTGAAATGTAGTATCTCTTTATAGGATGCAATTTTGAGACACAAGGAACGCCTTACTCTCAATTAGGCAAGTATATTTATTACAATTAACTGGCACGTATTCTATGTTGCTCTTTTTTTCCTTTTCTTTAATCTTTAACTCTTTAACTTTCCATTGGTGACTGAGCAGCATTTCTTGCGTGTGCCCTGCTTGCAGGGCTCTCTCGGGTAAGCAAATTTGGAGGAGGAAAGGCGAGTGCCATACAATGTAAAGGCACTATAAGCTCACCCCCCATATAGTTTTAAAGAGAAGCCTAAAGTCGGTGCTCTGGAAGTGGCCCTGTAGTTAAGAGTCAATCCTCCTGCAATACATACTTGAGTTCATTCATGGGCCGGATGCCGAGGAGGTGATTAGTCCCTCTGCAGCTAATTGCAGTGAGTCCCCTTCAGCCTGCCTGAAGGTCAGGCTCCTTCATTCCCCAGAGAGAAGGAGCCCCAAGCCCGTCCTCTCTCTGTCTCTCCCCACCTTGATGCAAAACCCTGAAAGGTCCCCACACTCGCTGGAAAAGCGGGTGAGCACAAATTGTTTCCTGTTCCTTCCTTTTACCCGGCTTCACGTGCTGTTTTCTTCTCCTGCATGCCTTTCCTTGGGGATGACCACAGTTGACATTAAAAAAATGGTGGCAGGTACGGAATCGCCTCTGTCGAGTTGCGGAAGCGGGGCACCCACGTGCATGTGAGCTATCTTGTGAAACGATCCAATAAACCGATGAATCAATCTCACCCGAGTGTTTTATTTTTCAAGCCGTATTTACTCCTGCAGGCGTGAGAGTGTTTTGTGGATGTGTCAGTTCACATTTCGGTGACCGCTGGAGAAAACCACCTGGGGAACCGGGCTGGTGGCTTGTGAACCCCTCCCCATGCCTCTGTCTTGTCGAGGATGTGACACTCTATCTGTCAGATGTGCAGTAATCGAGTCTCATGCATTTAAACCAGCAGCTGTACTGTGTTGTGGAGGTTTTGGGGTGTTTTCCAGCCTTCCCATGAGCTAGCTTTTGTCTTACGTGTGCCCGGTTGCTCTGTAGGGAGTTTCCTCGGTGTGACTTAGCATCTCTGTCGATGTAGACCTTTGTCTGTGCTTTTGGTTCCCAGGACGGCCAGCCCTCACACACACACGCGCAGTTCATCGGTGCTAATCCTCAGTCCCCCTCTTACACCTGACCCTGAGAACGCGTTGCTTGCATGAGTAACCCTTACATCAGAGCCTGGAGACCTGGCCAGGATCACGCTTCTCCTTCTGCTGGGGCCAAATTTTAGGGGATCATGAGGATCCTGCAAGCTGAGACAGACGGACGATGGGAGAGGGGACGGAGACAGACAAGCAGCAAGAGCAAAACTTGCCCAAGCCCTGGCTATAAAACCTCAGCCAGGCTGGCAGGCTGCAGCTCCGCTCCAAGCATCCTTCC